TTTTTTTAAGAGGGTACAAAACTGTCACTGAAGGTACAATTTTGGCCTGAATAAGGTACAAACTACAAGGGTACAAATAAGTACCCACTCTTGAGGGTACAATAACGGTACCTTTGAGGGTACCACCCCAGTGACAAGCCAATGTACCTATAAAGGTACAATCTAGTACTTTTTTTTCTGACAGTGTATGTTCTCATTAACAAAAATACCTCTTTTTTCATTCAGCTGGTTTGTGCTAATTGTTCAGACGTGAGCAAGATTGATTTAAAAGGAATGAACACAACACTAAAACACTATACAACTTGGCAATTTGAAGAAAACGTCTTTATTTTGAAATGACTCTTATAATAGGAAAACACCATCTTTTAAATAAAGGTTATGTTGCATCTGTCATGTTTGTTTGTCAAAAGAGAGTCTATCTCATCTAAGAAATTGTTAAACTCAAGCAAAAGACAAATTCAAATGAAATACTCAAGGCACTTGTTTCTTTCATCATCCAGTTCCTGGGTCTCGATCTCAAACTTCTTCATGGCAATAAAATACTGTACAAAGGGCTCTCCCAGGGCACAGCATATGACAGGATCCTCCCCCAATGCCTCCAGCGCATCTTCAAGCTTCACAGGAATAGTGATCTCTCTCTGCTGGCCAGGAGGTTTGTTGAGAAGGCTCTCAATGTTCAGGTTTCTCTTGATACCATCCAGTCCCGCAGCCACGGTGGCAGCCAGTACAATGTAAGGATTTGCCATGGCTGAGCCAAGCTTGTTGTCAATGTGTGTCTCCCTTCCACCATGACACTTGATGTTAAAGGAACTGCTGTTATCATTGCAGCCGCAGGTAGCGTACAGCATCCGCTTGGGGTCTTTGATGGTCTTGGCGATGTGGCTTCGACAGCCAAGGCCAGGTGACATGAGGCAACTCAGGGCAGCAGAATGGGTGAGGAGACCAGCCAGCCACTTCCTCCCAATCTCCGACAGGTCTCCTGGCTTCTCCTCACTGGGAAAGAAGCTGCGTCGTCCATTAGCATCCCATAGACTATGGGCGAGCACGCCAGCATTGTAAAGACCATCATCAGTGAAAAAGCTGGCAATGTAGCTGTGTTTACGAGCCATTTCTTTGATTCCTGTGCGGAAGGTAAAAGCACTATCAGCAGCTGCTATTCCAAACTCCGGCCGCAAGTTGATCTCCATCTGGCCGGGGCCGCTGGCAGAGGCAATGCTGTCGATGTCTGCTCCCATGCAGTACATGCTGTCCACCAGCTGCTGGAAGAAAGGCAGGTCATGGTTACTGAGAAGAGTGGTGGCAGGAAACAGGAGTGTTTTTGGTCCAATTCGGTCAGGGGCTCCCAGGACGCAGCATTCGTAGGTGAAGGATGAGTGCAGAGAGAATCCCAAACTCTGAAGCTGTCCAAGGAGCTGCTTGGCAATGAGACGAGGTGAAGTGCGAAGGGGGCTTCCTGTTACAGTGCACGGATCACAAATGACCCGTGCTGTCTGCTCAGCCCAGGGCAGGACCCTGAAGGTTGAAAGGTCAGGGATCAAAAGGACATCACTGCTGAAGTTAGCACTGCTGGCGTGGTCCACTTCATTGCTCTTGGGACTCAGGGTCAGCTCCAAGTAGCTTCTTGGCATGGATACCCCATATACTGCTTTTTCCTACAGATGCAAAATTTCCAACAAACACAGGAGATGGTAAGTTTTAGAAATTCAGAAGTGTTTTTAATAAGACCGAAACTAATTTTATGTCACTGAAAGTACGGAAGTCGAGAGTCCATGGTTTTTCAACATTGATTAACTATGTCATTATCACAAAATAATGATGACCGTTTTCTCAAGGTAATTTTTTCCATTATCACGAGAAGACACTCATTGTTTTTCTCTGGATAATGAGATGATTAGCTTTTCTTGAATGCTCATGATAAGTTTCCCAGTGTTGTTAAAACTTTGCCAAGAACAAACTTGAGCTGAAACTGTCAGGTCGAGCAGAACCTGGCACTGATAAATGCATCAGGCTTTACTACTGACGAGGTCCAACAGGCTGAAATTACAGTTTGTTTGTCTTGTACAGAAAACTTTTATATCAGCCCTCGTCATTTAAAGGGACCCCCGATAAGTTGTAACATTGGACTTTATTTAATAAACATATATTTTAACTTTAAAATAAAGACTGTAAAAATACTGTAGGCTGTTTAGTTTTTATAAATTTTAAAGTAAAAGTTTAAAAATATATTTTAACACAGACGGAGCCATTTTATTTGCACACAAAGCATTCTGGGTAAATGATGA